CATGGCTCTCATATGGTGCGTATCCTGACAGTCATGACAGCCTGTTGATATGGATCTTTTGTCAATGCCAGAGAAGGACGCAATGGGCGATGACGAATACCACCCTCTCAGCCACACGGGGTCGAACTTGACAAGCGCTGGAGGCATAGGCTACACTGTGGTAGACTCCATAGACACCATGCTGTTGATGAATCTCAACGAAGAATACGCACGCGCCAGATCATGGGTCGCGAACCACATGAGTTTTGAACGCGACGGTAACTTCAATACCTTCGAAGTACGTCCGTTTGATAGATTGCTTCTCGACATAATAATAACTGATTGGCCTGTGGTGGTAGACTACGATCCGCGTACTAGGTGGGCTTCTGTCCGCATACCACCTGTCGTCAGGCGATCCCATCTATCTCGAAAAGGCCACTGAACTCGCTGACCGAATCCTCCCCGTCTTCGAAACGCCCTCTGGTCTACCGCAACCCATGATCAACCTGGGTAAGGGTATCGGTGTCCCAAATTCAGACTTTACAGGTCTTGTCAGCACCGCTGAGATCTCTACTCTACAACTGGAATTCCGATACCTGAGCCACTTGACTCATGACGATGTTTACTGGCGACGAGTGGAAAATGTATGCCCCCATTTCGCCGCCAGCTTTGAAAGAGCGATCATTCATGTCCAGTAGGTCATGCGCGTCATCAAGTCGGCACGCCTACCTCATGGCTTAGCATCCATCTTTATGAGGTTTGTTGCACAAACTTTTCTTTTGCGAACTTTCACTGATCTGATTCTAGCGTTGAAGAGGGCCAATACGTCACATCTGCTATTCGCCTAGGTTCCCGCGGTGACTCTTTCTATGAATATCTATTGTAAGTTATGTTCCGAGAAGTACGCCTATGCTCAGCTGAAGTCTCCACCAGGAAACAATATCTACAAACTGTAAGCCTTCTCGTCGCCTACGAGGTTGGTATTGGCTTAGAATCGCAAAGAATAGCTCAGAACCCGTCTACAGCGATGTAAGCCGCCGCTCGATTGACATGTCTGTTCCTCTCTAAACCCGATCCTGTAGATGTATGACGACGCAATGTCAGCGATCCACGGACACCTCATACAAAAAAGTACCAAGGCCAGGATGACTTACACTGCGGAACTTATTCCCGAACAGCATGCTTCTGGAGAAGTGTATGCCAGTCAGGATCACTTTCGTCGTCCACCGTTCTGAAATACGTTTCTGGCAGCTCGTGGCGTCTAACTCCCAAACAGGACCACTTGGTCTGCTTCCTCGGAGGTTCGCTCATGCTTGGAGCAACAAAGACCGGAGCTCTCGTCCACCCAGTATCTGTCCCGCCTCGCGACAAAGAACTGTCGGCATCGGGCAAACGAGATTGGAAGACTGGCGTTGAACTTCTCAAAACATGTATGAACACGCATGATACTGCCACGTACGATTTTCCATTCGGCTACTTTCATTGCGTTTTCTGAACTTGCCATTTTATCTCTACAGAGGGCTCTCACCTGAGATCGTCCACTTCCGGATCCCGAGCGACGGAATGGACAGCAACTCGATGGCACCTTCCGACTGGTACATCAAAGGGGCACGGTGAGTGCCGCATCTTGTTACCTTCCCCGTATACGCTGAGGCCTATTGGTGTCCTGTCCAGACCGGGCGATTTTCCGCCGTACGACGCACGTTACATGCTTCGGTATGTCTCAACCTGCGATATCCCCCCGAAATACGTGATTAACATAGTTCATTTCAGTCCCGAAACTGTGGAATCCCTCTTCCTGGCATATCGTCTGACGGGAGACCAGCTCTACAGGGACCATGGCTGGAATATCTTCCAATCTATCGAGAAACACTGTCGCATATCGACTGGAGGTTACGCCACTATCGTCAACGTCGATGAAGTCCCTGCAAGGCACGAGGATAAGATGGAGACCTTCTGGATGGTTCGATATCTTCCTTCCTTGACCTAACTATAATTTAACATCGGTAATTTGTCTGTAGAGTGAGACCTTGAAGTATCTGTACTTGCTGTTCGATGATTCGAACACTTTACCCCTGGACAGTGCGTGTACACCTCCGTTATCGATACTCTTCGATGTCTGACTTTCAACTTCTAGAGTTCGTGTTTAACACTGAGGTGTGTTAGTCTTCCATGGCCATGTAGCATTTACTCACAGAATGCGCATTAGGCTCATCCGCTGCCAGTCTTTGAACCAACGATACGAACTGGCTTTTCGTAGACGGGAACTTTGCATATTTATAGATTATATATACCCAGCAAACAGGCCGGTGGGACCAAAAAATGATAACCGTGGATCATAGCGGAAAAAACAGGGGTATTTCAACCTCTCGACTGCACACTCATGAGGGTTTGCATGGATCATAAGCATAGTAGCAGGCATGTCTTACGATACAAGTAACAAAGCGTGTGAGAGAAGGGAGCGACTGATTTACTCATCATCCTCGGCATCGTCACCATCCTCCTTCTTCTGGGCGGCAGCAGCGCGCTTGCGCTTGACACGACCAGGGCCTCCTCCACCGTAGGGCGACGTGAGGGCAAAGTCAATGTGTTTTTGGGAGTCGAGACGGACAACGAAGGAAGGGACGTTAACGATCTGCTTGCCGACGCTGCAAACAGAAAAGCATCGGTTCCCAGACTATGATGGATTACAGGAGACAAGTCAGACGTACCGGATGTGTCTTTGCCTGATGAGGACACGAGCATGGTGGATGCTCTTGGCCAAACCGCTCTTGAAGACCTGAGTCTGCAACCTTCTCTCCAAGAAATCCTCAACCTTGAGAGCCAACACGTAATCGAGACGCATGCGGGATTCGTCGAGCACACCGATACGGACGAGACGACGGATCAACGCGTTACCCTCGAACAGACGCTTGGGATCCTTGACATCGAGCTTGAGGAGCTCACGGGCAGCACGACGAATTTTAGACAAAGTGAGGGCGATACGCCAGATTTCGCGCTTGTTGCGGAGACCGTACTCGCCAGCAAGCTGTCGCGCAGAAGGAACATGCGATATGTCAAGAAACAGAATGGAGCAACGCGGAAAGGGCTGACCTTGAGTTCGGCATCGAGACGAGCCGATTCGAAAGGTCGACGAGGGACCTTGTAACTGTGAAGTTAAAGGCAATGGGGCACGGCTTATCAGCACAAGTGCAACCCTCCACTTAAAGTGGATCTTGAGGAGAAAAGCTCACGTCTTGGAGTGGTTCCGCGGGGCCCTGAATGCAAATCGTTAACCTTTAGCTCATCGTTGAGCACGGCGAGGACATTACCTGGGCATTTTTTCTTGAGGAAGTCGACGACGGACTTGAGTTTACCGTTGGGCACAAATAATCGTGAGAACCAAACGAGGGTAAACACGATTAGGCTCTCCGCCACAACTGTAAAGGACCACACCTCAGCCACTCGGCATTTTCCGGTACCCCCCGATTTGATTTCCTTGTCCCCGTCGATACCGCCAACGACCAAGCCCGACGTACGCCCAATTCTTGCTCGTTTGCTGTCCATTTCTCACAAACCATGTAGTCCTCAAGATGCCGCACTCATTCGGTTACCGCGCGCGTACGCGCCATATGTTCAAGCGGGGCTTCAAGGGTGCGATTTGACCTCGATAAAACGCTGTATCAAGGCTTTAACTTTCTGGCAGAGAGCGGCCCCACCAAATTGTCCACTTTCCTCGTCAACTACTACGTCGGCGATATTGTTGACATCAAGGCCAACTCCTCGCAACAAAAGGGTATGCCCCACAAGTACTACCACGGGTTCGTTCAGCACATATCCATTTATCGAGGTAACAATGATCCTAATCCATGACCATTACAGACGAACTGGAATTGTATACAACGTTACCCCCCTCTGCCGTCGGTGTCATTGTGTACAAAGTCGTTGGAAACCGCTTCATCGAGAAGCGGGTCAACCTCCGTGTTGAGCACGTTCGTCACTCAAAATGCCGACAGGAGTTCTTGGACCGGGTGAAGAGCAACCACGCAGCGCATGCGGCTGCAAAGGCAAAGGGCGGTGAGGACTTGTATCTTTGTGGAATCGGGATTTTTCTCAATGAATTCTACAGAGCGTATTAACTTGAAGCGCGTACCCCTCCAACCTCGGGAAGCACACACCGTGTCCACCGACAACAACGCCCCTCAGACCATGGTCCCTGTTCCTTACGAGACGACAATCTAGATGGGTCGACGGCGGGGCTACTATTCTTACTGTCTGGTTGTATGTTCGTTTATTGCTTTCATGCCCCATGCACAACAACAAAACATGAAAACAATATCCATGTATCAAAGCGGAAAGGAGTTGGACCACCAAACATGGGGCGAATCTCCTGATACATGTGTACTGGGACGACCCAACTGTTCAGTTCAGGGCGCATTCGATGTCCTCCTGGTTATTCGCTGGCCGCCATGTTCCTGCAAGTGCAAGCCAGATTTGCTGCATCATTTCATAATTTACATTGAGTGTTCGGAGACACCATTTCAATTTCACCGCTTGTGTTGGCGCTCGCGACTCAGGACATTCTACCAGTGTAACCTCGGCGCGTCGGATAACCCATTGAACCCATCTGCTGAGGATGTCAACAAGTGGGCATGACAGATGCCATTTGAGTGCTTTCGGTATACTTTTTGTCAAAACGTAACTGCACTGGTGGTGAATCTCCATGACTTGGGAATGCCAAAGCTGATGGACACGCGTCGTCTATGACTTCTATTGGCATGTAGAATTCTCTTGCCTGAAAAGAGTCGCCTCGCTATTGGCCTGTTCATTTTTGTACGTTCCCTATGTGATCTGCTTGCACCTGCGAGCACAACCATGGAGTTATGTTGAATCGTGTCACATAAACGGCCGCCAGGCATTAGCTGGCATTTGGATAGCTATAGACTAGCTTCGAAGTTGATTCCGTTACAGCGACATCGCTCGAGTAAACGCAATATTCGAGTGGGTCCAGTCGAATTCGCTGTTGTGAATGACATCTCCATGGCCTGATGGTCTAGTAGTATGATTCCTTGTTAGGGTGTATACCATTTCGAGGAGGTCCTGGGTTCAATTCCCAGTCAGGCCCGCTAGTCTTTTTATCCTGCGTAGTAGGATTCGAGACGATGAGCAATGTACCCTCAGCGTGTACCCGGGCTTCCAATTTCCAGGATACACTATCCTCTGCGCAGTCTGGATTCTGGAATCTTCTAGATTGCCATTGGCATTAGGGGCTGAAAACATTTCGGCCCGGAGATCACCAAGGACCGATTAGATTTAGAGAACTCCGAGATGTGACCGCATCTCCAGAACTCCGAGTGCGAAACCGCTGTGACCGCATTTTCAGAACTCAGCCCGATACCTCCCACTTACCACCACAATGTCCGGGAAGCTAGCCTCAGGTATGCCGTAGACTATCTTGTTTCCTCAAATACCTAAACCTCGTTCAGAATATGCCTCCTGGAAGAAACTCCAAGAGATTTACGACTCAGAGCACTCGAAGCTCGTTCTGAAGGACTTGTTCGCGCAGGATCCAGAGCGATTCTCTAAATTCTCGCGCGAATACTCCTCCAATGATGGCCCCGATGTCACCTTCCTCCTGGACTACTCCAAGAACCTCATCACTAAACCCGTGCTTGATACACTCTTCTCGCTTGTGCGTGAGGCCGAAGTCGAGAAAGTACGAGACGAGATGTTCTCTGGCGCGCACATCAATACGTCTGAGGACCGCGCCGTCCTGCACGTTGCTCTACGTAATTTTGGAGATTTCTCCATCAAGGAGAACGGTGTCGATGAAGTCGGGAGTGTGCTCGCCCACATGAAGGAGTTCACCGAGGCTGTGCGTAACGGGGCGTGGAAGGGTTACACTGGGAAGACGATCAACACCATCGTTAACATAGGCATCGGTGGATCCGACCTCGGCCCAGTTATGGTGACGGAGGCTCTCAAGGCATACGCGAAACGCGATCTATCTGCGTACTTTGTCTCGAACATCGACGGGACGCATCTGGCGGAGACCCTGAGGTCGTGCGACCCTGAGCGCACGCTATTCATCATCGCGAGCAAGACTTTCACGACGCAGGAGACTATTACGAATGCGGAGAGTGCGCGAGATTGGTTCCTCGAGACTGCGAAAGACAAGGCTCACGTCGCGAAGCACTTTGTGGCGCTCAGCACGAACACCAAGGCTGTGACGGCATTTGGAATCGCCGAGAGCAATATGTTCCAATTCTGGGACTGGGTTGGCGGCAGATACAGCCTCTGGAGCGCCATTGGTCTTTCGATTGCCTTGGTTATCGGGTACAACCATTTCGAGGAGCTCTTGAAGGGTGCCCATGGCATGGATAAGCACTTCAAAGAGACGCCGATTGAGCAAAATCTGCCCGTCATCCTGGCCGTCCTTGGTATCTGGTACAACGATTTCTATGGTAGGACACGTTCTTCATCTCGATGCATATATGCTCACCCCCAGCGCTTCCCAGGTGCTCAGACCCACGCCCTCCTTCCCTACGACCAGTACCTCCACAAGTTTGCCGACTACTTCCAGCAGGTAACGAAAATTCCATCTCTACTCTACGCATTCAATAATGTCTCCGTTTATATGATAGGGAGATATGGAGTCGAATGGTAAGTCCGTTACGAAAGGCGGTCAACGCGTGAACTACCAAACCGGCGTAAGCTCCGCTCGACATATCCTTGTTCTCTCGTTACTGACCAAATATGGAAACAGCCAATCATCTGGGGTGCCGCAGGGACGAACGGGCAGCACTCCTTCTACCAGCTGGTACACCAAGGCACCAAGCTCATTCCTGCTGACTTCATCGCTCCCGCGACTACGCACAACCCAATCGCCCATTCCAAACATCATCGCATTCTTCTCTCAAACTTTTTCGCTCAGCCTGAGGCTCTCGCCTTCGGTAAGACAGAGCAACAGGTTAGACAGGAGGTCGGCTCTGGCGCAAGCGAGGCGCTAGTGAAGAGCAAAGTCTTCGAAGGCAACAGGCCCAGCAATTCGATCATGTTCCCATTGATGACTCCCGCGACACTTGGAGCGCTGATCGCACTGTATGAGCACAAGATTTTCGTACAGGGAGCCGTATGGGGTATCAACTCATTTGGTTGGTTGCATTTGTATGCTTTGCCTAGTACGATACTTAAGTCAACCCACAGACCAAATGGGTGTCGAGCTCGGAAAAGTGCTGGCCAAGAATATCCTCGCGCAGCTTGACAAGCCCGAGGATGTCAAAGGCCACGACAGCTCTGTACGTTGTCTCTTGCAACTCTGATCCCTTGACATGAAACTCATTTATGCTGTGTACAGACAACTGGAGTAATCCATTATTACCAGAAATACAGGAAGGAGTGAGATATACCTGCTACAAACCATGGACTGGTCATTTCGGAAGGGTCGGAAAGAAAAGGAAAGAAAACCCCTATACCTGTACTTGTAGTCGAATTATATAGGACATCCTCAGACAGTCTACATCGCTAATTTCAGGACATCTTGAGATTGAGAGGCACGTCGTGCAACCTACGATTGATGTGTCACAGCCTGTGTCTTACGCACATGATGTGACGTTTGGTATTTGTTCATTTTCAATTCAACTCGTTTCTAACTTACCAGACTTTTGGAACCGGAGTCAAGGGCGTGGGGGGAGGAGGCTATGATGCAGAAAGAGGTAAGACACATGTTCATGCCGCTATCGAGTACTTATATGATCTGAGAGAGATTAAGTGTCGAGGGTCGGATATGATGAGAATATGAGATGTCGCCGGTTGTGAAGGTAGAATGTACGGAAGCAAGGACCATTGCGCAGGAGAGCGCTAGACGAGATGGATGCGGCTGAACGGCGAAGATTGCGCAACCCAGGCCTCCAGACTCAAGCCAAAAGTTATCAGAACTTGAAGAAAGTTCGTCATGCCATATGACCGTTGAAGTTTCGAAACGTTGACGTGTCGATCACACGGTCGGATCATCATCATCACTGGCAGGATATGTTTTTCATCAGCTGTTCTCCATCACTTCAGCTGCTTCAGACGGCTTCCTAGGGCTCAGTCTAAGTCGAAGAATCATATAGTGTATCAATGTGCGTCTACGCGTGCGTCGATTCCCGGCAACACGTTATCGTGGCGCCAACCATTTCGATACCGATGCAACATCGGCCACAGTCTAGCATACAAAATGGTGGCGAGGGTATAGATCGTCCGACTGTCTGCAACCCATGATGCCGACACAGTCCGCAGTGGAGGCGTGACTTCATATCTCTTCACTTTGGCTTGACATCGTGTGAGTTGCGTACCTGCAGAAAATTCCCTGGGCGATGGAAATCCGGGCTATATAAGAGGTGATCGCCGCTTACACTTTCTTCCGAGTCAAAGTATCGACATGCGTCTTTCTGCGGTCTTGGTGCCTCTGCTCTCCGTGGCTTTTGCTTTGGGATCACCCATCTCGGATGGCGGGGTTGTCGACCTGGAGAAGAGAGCAGTCTCATCAGGTACATTTACTCAGAAGAGATGTGCAGCGCCCCACTGATGCCAGACTGATCTAGACGTTTTTGACAACTTGAGGTTCTATTTCCAGTGTGGGTCGCACACACAATTGCTCTAGACCGTAGTCTTATAACTATCAAACAGACGCGTCGTCCGCATATAATGACGCCTGTGCGAAACCCAACGGGAATACGTTGGTATTGGCAGTACGTTTCTGGTTACTTAGCATCATCTCCTCCTTCCCTTGCTCCAGGATCATAATTGCCTCCTTTCTTTAGATCAACAATGTCCTTTCCGACACCCAAGGCTTTATCGCGCGCGATGACACAAGGAAAGAAATTGTGGTTTCTTTGCGAGGAAGGTGAGCGGCTTCGAAGTCGTCCAACAAAGTCGTGATACATGTCGTGACGTTGACTCCGGTCGTGCCTTCAGCGAATCCCTTATTGACGCCTTAAATGACGCTCTCATCGTTTTGATCCCGTTCCTATCACCCGGTGTCTTTGCTCCACGTGAGATTTTCCCCCGCCAAAGCAGCTCGCCGGACTGACGATCTCATCTTCTCATGGAAAAGTTGGCACCACTGTTCACACTGGGTTTCTCACCTCGTGAGTCGTATGGTTATGTCAGGACGGTAGGAAGTCTCTAACGTGATCTCCACCAGTTGGAATTCCGTGGCTCTACAGGTTATAGCCACGGTGGGAGCACAGTTGGCCCTTCATCCTGACTATACCATCATCACCACTGGACATTCTCTTGGAGGTCAGTTCTCGTCTCCTCATATTGAATAATCCTATCCTTATTTCTTTCAAGGCGCCTTGTCAAGCTTGGCTGGAATCTCTTTGAAGCAGAACTTCCCCAGCAGGTTTGGGCGGAATCAGGCTTCACATACAAACATCGTTTCTCACCCGTCTTCCCAGTAAACTCCGTTTATATACTTATGGCCAGCCAAGGTACGGAACATTCCATTAGTCGTCATGCTTGCACCTAATATGAGTATTGCCATCAGAACAGGAAATGCGGTTTATGCACAGTTTGTAAATAATGCCGTCGGTCTGAATAATATTTTCCGAGGTGAGTACACTTCCATAAACGTCCCTTGTGAAGGAGTTACTGACTCAAGACTGAAGCAACCCATACTACGGACGGGTAGGCCTTTCAATTTTCTCCATGCAATTCAACTCACCTGCGTTCAGAGTTCCTACCATTATCCCACGTGGTCTAACTTTTCTTGGCTACCTCCATCACGGTAGATACATCTGCTACCATATTCATAATTTCCTAACTGACCGTGTTACCAGCGACCGAGTACTGGCAAAGCCCCGATCCAGCCTCTGCTGCTACCACTAAACGATGCGACGCTAGTGGCGAGGACCCTACTTGTTCAGCCAGTATCCCCTCCATGGGAATCAACGATGCACATGGGCTGGTTCGTAGACTGATAGGATGTGTCCCAAAGGGAAAAAAGCTGACTATATATCTATCTCCCGCAGTACTTCAACATCCGGAGTGGAACCGCTTTCTGCACTTGATCCTTGAATATGTTCGGGTTTCTAGATTCATGTGGAAATAAATGCGTCAGTGGACAATCTGAGCTCGTGG